AGGTCATATGAGGTCATGCACAGCCATGCACAGCAGGTCACCTGACCATCCAATCCTTCCAGCAGGTTCCAGCACATGCCAAGGTATACCAGCTACTTCCATGTCATAAAGGCTCAGTCATGTCTCTTCTCTTGACCAAGCAATGAGCTGGTGCCCTGACAGGTATCTGGAGACTGGATTAGTATTCAGTATGGTTTATAGTAGTGAGTATAAGTAGTTTCCAGAAACTCCTGTATCTAGCTTATTCTGCCCCTTTTCTGTTAGCATTATATGGATCCGATTATCTCCTTACTGGATAGGCAGCATGATCTTGACTTAGCATATTTGACTTGCCTGGACATACTTGACTCAACAGAGACTGACCTCCAAATTATTACTGACTGACTTTCAATAGCTCAGCTACAGGCTGACACCTGCATTCCTACTGACTTTCCCCTTCTCTCCCCTATTTCTCTAGCAAGTTCTTGCACACCACCCATCAGACCAATATTTTGGACACCTTTTGGGTTGGATCACCAGGATGAGATATCTGCAGCCCTTTGTGTGAAGGCTTCACTGCTGGCGGAGCACATCATTTTAAGTATGCCCCCCTCCTTACATGCCAGTGATTTCTCTCTGAATTATTACATTATACAGACACATTTTGGGACATGGGTTTGTTCATTCCTGCTCCTGCCTTTGAATTTGGCACTCTCATACATCACAGGTTCTCTTTTTTGGTAGATTGGACTGCGTTGGGCTGCAGCGGAGATATCTCAGTTGACAAGCAGCCTGACTCTTGTCTTGGTGAACCAGGGACTTTCAAAACCTGTCATCCTGGCAGCCTGCTCCTCCATGAATCCATTCAAGAAAGACCCCATTGCCAGGGGCACATATTCAAGCAAACACATCGAACACCTGTTGCATTGAAGTGTTGCTACACAAGACAAAACAACGTGGAGGGAGAGCCCAGGGGGTCCAGCTTCAAAAACTTTGTACAAATGGGGAAAGGGAAAGAAGTCCAGGTTTTGGCTGGAGAAATTGAATGCATCATATGGGCTGATTCCCTACTTGGATTGGTATACAAGCAATTGGAGGCCATCCAAGCTTGATCCCCCCTGGATGCAGTGATCAACCAAATTAAAATTCCCCAGGTTTGGTTTGTCAAGTGGGGCCTTTTTTGAGTCACTGCACCCCTGCCCAAGGATAAACAGAAAAGCAGAAAAGGAACACCCTACCTTATTGAAGAACTCATCAATCCCAAGGGTGGTACTTTTGTCAAATATATACACAATGCCAGTGCTATTCCTCAAATAAGTGAAGGGAACGCAGGTGACATTGCATCATTTCTATCATTTTGCCAGCACCTTGAGTATGAACTCACTGGTCACCTGATGTTCACTAGCAACTTTCAAGGTAATGCAGAATACATGGTGCACAATGCTTTGCTCAACAGATGAACAGGTGCAGATGGTCTCCTTACTGATCCCCAAATCATGACAAATCTGTATGTTTTGTGCAAATGATTTTGTCCTGTCCTCACCTTGATCAGGGAATTCCCATTGCATTTGTTCGGAGAAGGCAATGTTGGAGCTGCCTTCTCTGCATTTGAGGCCCAACATGTCTGTTCAAGATACTGCCTTGCCTATGGTCTCCAGTCATTCCACTCAGCAGTTCTGCCCCAGACTTCTAGCACACAAAAGTCAACACACCACCAGGAGCAAATGATCCATGCAGAAAATGATGAGTAAGTTTCATTCATACCTATGAGGAAACTTGTCTAGGTGTGGGAAAAAACACATTCTTAGAGAAAAGGGGCCAAAAACATATTCTGATTGCAGGGGTCCTTGTCTGCTATCCTATCACATGGTCTGTTTCAGTGAGAATCTAATAATAAAAATTCAGTGTTCATATTCAGCTGATGCAAGTCACTTGATGCTGACCTCACTCAGCAGTGCCACAGGCCCTTGATCCATACACTGCACCAGTCCCCCAATCATGATGCTATTGGCATGCTGGTTGGCAGCAGTGATTGATTCTCCTTCCAGGGTGTTCACATCATTGCAAGTCATCAGACGACCTCTCACAAGACAGCAGACTGCTTCCTTGACCCAAATATGACAAGAAAATGTCACACCGACTTCAGCTGCTGGAGTTTCTATGGGAATATCCCAAAGAATCAGGTCAATGGAAGCTACAACATATGTGAGCACAGGTATGTGGAAGAGAGGAATTACTGACCAGACAAGTGAGCCTTGCCAATGAGGATGGCCACTACCAAAGTCATGGAGGTGATCATTTGCCACTCCTTTTGCTAATAGCGCCAGCCAGGGTCCTGCATGGCATGAAAGGCAATGTAGGTCCCATCCATGTAAGTAGTGATGATGAGCCAGTGATAGTCATTGGCAAGGAAACCATGGGAGGTGAGAATGAGGTACATGCCAGGGGCAATAGTGCTGCTTGGAAGAGGCATGATGAGGGGGACAGGCTGATTTGTGGGATGAGGTATACTGATGGTGTCCAAGGGAAAAATTTATACTGCACATTGTGCATACAGAAAATGGTAACGAACCCCAGAGATCACAATGTCCAGGTTTTGTCTTCTTACCTCCATGCATCATGGCATGCACTGGCAACCATGTGGCATATATTATGTGGTTGGCCACACAGGATGAGCAAGCCCCCTGCCTTCTTATTGACAACCATCTCTCCATAACACTGGTAAGCATATCTGCCCATCCCCCTTGTGACCCAAGAATAATAGTGTCATCCCATAGCAAACCAAAGAACACTGGTGCAACAATGATGCTATCTTACAGGCTGGCATCTTTGGCATTCCCTGATACCAGAAGGAATGTGCTGCTGGAGCTACACTTGGATCCTTGTCCTGGCCACTGGAATGAAAAGGCCAGGTGCCCTAATATATGGGAAGATGCCACCTGTTCAGCAGGTGACTGCGCTGCCATTTGGGCTAATTGTCAAATGCGGCTCTATGTGTGAAGGTGATGCAATGGGGTATGTCAATACATTGGATGGGGTTCCAAGCCCCAAAATCTTTGATTACATGAAGCTCTCCAAACCCTTGGCATCCTGGTTCCCTTGTGACCATGGGGAGAAGTCCTTGTGGATCATGCAGCATCTCCATGGTGATTCCATCAGTCCTCAGTTATGGAACTTCACTGACTGGCAGGTGGATTGCCTGAGCAAACAGGTGGGCCAAGCATTTACAGCTCTTCATCATGCAACCCCTGCCATGGATAAGGTTTGCAGGATCAGAGGTTGGCCTTGTATTTCTTACAATATATCACTGGACACCTTCAGACCATTTGACTCAGTTGCATCTTTCAATGGGTACATGGCAGAGCAGTGATCCAACCCAAAAGGTGTCCAAAATATTGAATACTGGCCTGACACACCCCACCGGAGGTGGGGTTGTTCATCCCCCCCAGACCTTGAATACTGACTCCCTGAGTCAGTGGGGCCCCGGGTGACATATTGTGCAGTCAGGAATGCATAGCAGCACCACCGAATATTGAGCTAAGTGAGGGCAGCATTATCAAGAACCAATTGTGAGACTCTCCATGGTAAGACATTGGGCTGCATATTGGGACACTGGTCAAACGGTGATGTCAAATATTTGGTAAGGGGGTGTATCAGAGGGCGTTGCTGTGCATTTGGCATTAAAGGTGGCTGGTCAGCATGTGAAGACCCTAAGCAGTGGCTTGCTGCACCATGTAAGTCTGCAAAAGGGACCCTGACTGTGTTTTTTGCATTGAGTTGCATGGTGCCTGAGACCCTGATTGGCCAATTTGCTGCTTCACAAAGCCCAGTGTGGTGTGTATCTGCACTGCCTAAGCTGAGACTTTGTTCTGGATATTGGTGCTTAGCAGAGTGCTAGCATATTTCTGTTTTCCATTGAGGGGTGCTTGTGCCTATAAATGGGACCACATTTTGCCTTTCCTGTCCATCCAGATCTCAACTGTACCCCTGCCTTCACTTACTTGCATCGCCCACTCTGACATGGCCAAAGCAACCACCTGCAAGACCACCACAAAGCCAGTGCTGCCAAAGGACAAACACACTGCCATGCTCAAGACAGCTGCCTTGATCATTGCCTGCATGTGCAAAGATGCAGAGGATCCCAGGTTTTCACCTTTGGTGAAATATTCAGACATTGAGCCATTCAGCAACCCAGTCATGCTGCTGCTAAACAGCCCCCAGTCCGCCCTCATCTGTGACCTGCCTGAGAAGTGGGTCTGACTTTTGGCCAATGACCAGCAAGAAGAGCTGGCCACTTTATCTGTGCCACCAGAAGAAGACAAAGAAGAGGACGAGGAGGAGAAGCAGTTCAAGGCTATGTTGTCAGGTTTTTCAGTACATGTTTCCTTTTTCACGCACCAGTGTCCTTTACTAACCCAAATTCTACAGACATCCCTGGCAAGCCTGGCCAGCCCTTTGGTGAAGGCAGAGAAGGGCAAGGCAAAAGCAAAGGAGATTACACCAGCAAAACTGGTCATGCCACAAACTGACGATTTGCACAATCATTACCTCGCTGGTGACCAGGGCACATGGGAGGCCCACCAAGGAGGATTCCCACAATGCAGTAAGTCAGCCACTTTTTCTCTCATTTCTTCAAGTATACTGACTAAAATTTTGCAGGGTTGGATGTTGGAAGAAACACTGGCAATGCTGTTGCTGGCAACAACAAATGAGGCAGTGGTGGAGTCATTCTCAGTGGAGAACTGCATAAGTCTTCCCCCACTTTTCATGCTCCTTTTGTTTCACCCATGCATTTTCAGCAGTGTGTGTTGTGCCACAAGCACATGGTCTTCAAGGATGGGGTGCCATGCCATGAATGCAATATTGTGGAGCAGCCCAATAAGGTGGTCTGTTTGGCATGCAAGGCAGCCAAGAAGCCTTGCACCATGTGTATAGGTATGCCGTTTTTCTCCCTTCCGTTTTTAGTGAGCTTGACTAACTTCTTTTTCAGCGTGTATCAAGAAGGTGGCGGTGCTGCCTCCAGCGCCTGCAGAGAAGAAGCTCTTCCCCTCTGAGACTCCCGAGCCCATTGAGGAGCCCACCAAAAAACCTGCCAACAAGAAGAAGCAGAAGCTGATGCACACTTATGCCCCAGCCAAGCCCAAAAAATGCAAGCAGGAGGATGACAAGGATGAGCCTGGGCCATCACAAAAACAGTCCCGCCTTCCAGAGGCAGGTAAATCTTTCCCCTTCTGCACTTTTATTCAGACCATGCTAACTGGTCATGTAGAAATCAAGTCACCTGTTGCACCACTCTGTATGGTGGAGCATAAGATGCTGGAGCTGCATAAGAGCCTGCAAATGGCTCAAAAAGTGGTGGATGTGGCGCAGAAAGCAGTGGACAGGGGGGTGGCCTGGGCAGAGCAGATCCAGACTCTCCTGGGGCAGGCTCTGGCTGAGTAAATTGGTTTTCCTCCCTTCTTTTTCTTTTTCCTGTGTCATATTTTGTCCCGTAGTTATAATTGTAGTATAGTCATGTCTTCATGTTCTCGTAGATCCGAATTTTGCCTTAAGCAAAATTCATGGTAATACATCTTGTTTGTCTGATACAACTTCAGTGTGCCTTTAAGACATGTGACTTTGGCATTCCACTTTGGTAAATCAAATGTTGTGTGAATCATAAGAAATTGTGGGTATTCTGGTAAGGATCATGTTCTTGCCATACTACTGAGTCCACTTGTGGACTTAGTAGATATATCTCAGGGAAACAAAAGAAAATGAGTGATGAAGTCAGGAGGTATGTGTGTGCTGTTCAACAAGCTTGTGGGTATAAGGCCCACACTATTTATTCAGGGTCGGGCTCTGTGGTAGTTGACAAGACATCTTTTACAGTTTGTGAGATTTCAGCAGAGGTCTGCTGCAAAATGTCAGGTAGGGTGGGGGTACATTTGGATTGCTGGTGGTATGGGTAAACTCAGAACTGGGCAATCTGGGCTTTGAGAATGGCACCATCCAAATCAGCAATCACATAACTGCCCCTAGCAGTCCATGTGACAACAACCAAGGGACCAAGAAATTGGGGTTTGGATTTTTGGTCAAGTTCCTTCTCTATCCGAGTATTGTGAATGAGAACCAGGGTGCCAGGTTTGCAGTCATAATCAGCGAGGATGTGCTCATTGTCCACCTTCAATCATTCAGCTGTGCATAATTGGGCCTGGTGAACCTTCTCCTGGAGGTCAGATAAATCAGACTTGTGGTGCTCAAGCTGTCAAATGTGGTAGGCCAGCTTGTCACTGTTGGACATAGGGAATTTGGGTGGGGGCACAAGGAATGTTGCTTGCTCAAAGTCCATGGGAAAGATTGGGTGAACACCATGTGTGATGAAATATGGGGAGAGGCTGGTGCTGTGCTGGACCAAAATTTGCTCAGCCCAGAATGCAGTTGGTGCTTTGTCAGGCCATTGCTTAATATTATCTCCGCATGCTTTCAAAATCGCTTGTCAGACCATAAAATGTTTTGATTCTACTACACCATTTGCACAAGAGTTGTACAGTGAAATTCAGATGTGCTGGATGCCAAAGTGTCATTCCAGTTCCTTCACTGCAGCTACCCAGGCTGATCCATTGTCAGTGACAATCTCTGCAATATTTTCCCAGCAACAAATAATGTCATGGAAGAGAAACAAAGTGAGGGCCATTGCAGTTTCTGATTTTAAAGGATGCCATTTGGGGTATGAGGACAGGGAGCAGCAGACTTGCACAATGCAGGTGTATCCTTTCACAGGAGGCATCTTCATGGTATTGCAATAAATCTTTGAGAAAAGTGGAGCTGGATAATCAACTGTTGGAGGTTTGAGGACCTTCCAAATGCTATGGACTTGACATGCATGGCAGGTATGGAGGTACCACTTGATATTCACACATAGGTTGGGCCACCAAAATCGGAGACAGAGGATACCTGTGACAGTTTTGAAGCCTTTGTGACCACTGTCATCATGGGCTTGTTTCAGCAGGGCAAGATAATCAGTGGGAGGGACATACATTCAGGGGGTGCCAGTGAGGTTACATTGACACAATTTGCTGTTGTGAAGGAAGTACTGGAGGGACTGTTTGACAAGGGGCGCATATTGCCACATATTCCAGTCTGTGGGGAGCAACAAATCAGTGAGGTACTGGCAGATAAATGCAATTTGGTTGTCAAGGTGCTGTGTGGAGGAGGTCCTGGGTATCTCTATTTTGGGCTTGGATTCCTTGACTGCAGATTGAATGTAGGCGGGGTACAACAGTCCCAGGCATTGTTTGTGGTTGATGTCAGGTGGGTTTGGAGCATCTAAGGAATTCAGGGGATGGTGGGAGAGACCATCTGGACCAGTGTGCTTTTCAGCAGGAATGTGGACAAGATTGAAATCAAACTGGTGTATCCCACTAACCCAGCAGTTGAGGGCAGCAGCAGGTTGCTGGTCCGGATTATTCAACATCCCTTTGATGCAGGAAGCATCCACTTCCACAATAAATCAGGGTGTGTTGATGAGGAAGACTTGTAAGGCCCAGAGAGCTTGGTATAAGCTGCATAGTCTGAGCTTTGGTTGGGAATACTGGGATTCAATGTTGTTCCATGCCAAAGATCCAAAGGGGGCCAGTTTTTGTTTGCCATTAATGTTGTTCTGGTACAGGACCTAGCTGACACTGATATTCAAGGAATCCACCATGAGAATAATCTTACGGTCATTCTCATAGTCAATAGGACAGAGTAATCCATCCCGAGAGGCATCTGCTTTTAGCTGGTCAAAGGCAGCTTGGTGCTCAGGGCCCCATGCAAATATTGTACCTGTGCATTTGAGGTGTTCCAAGGGGCAGGCTTTCATAGTGAAATCCTTTATGAATATTTGGAGGATCCTGAGAGTACCCAGGAATGCTTGGACTTCTGTGAGGGATTTCCACAGCTGCCAGTCCCGGATTTTTGCAACCTTAGAAGGCTCAGATTATTGGCCTGCATAGGTGCAATGTTGCCTGAGAATACAGACTTCAGGAGCCACAATTACCATTTTCAGGCCACTGAATGTTCCACCAAAATGTTTGATGTGGGTCAGGATCCGATTTATGGTTTCCACGTGTTCCCATATGAACTGCTGGATACCCTTATTTCAGGGATAGTGTTGGAAATCACCATTGGGGAGTTCATATTGAGTAGGGGGTCCGCAGATGGGAACATCCTCGACAAAAGGGATTGTGTATTTGGGGATCTCATCATGGAGGAGGAAGGTAACATCTTTGTGCATGATCTGAATGCCCTTCATCCCACCCATCTGATTTTGGGTGCTACGAAGGGAACCTTCGAGGGATTGGAAGGTGGTGAGATCCCAACTTTCCGGGTGTAGGAGATGTTTTTCGAAGCCCTGACAGAAATCAAAGAGGGTGTAGACAGATTGTCCACCATAAGAGTTGACAAGGGGCTCAGAAAGCGGAGGGAGGGCTGAGTCCCAAATTGTTATGCCATTCAGTGGTTGCAGGTCCAAAACAGGTTGCAGGGATCTGTCTTTCTTCAGGACACAGAACCAGCAGGATCAGTAGGAGGATTGGGAGGGCTTGTATATGCCCACATTTAGTTTGTCCTGTAATGCTTTGAGGACTTTTGGTAATAAAGTGGGGGGCACCAGAATATTCTTCTGTTGCCAGGGTATGTGTTCAATTGTTGGAATTTGGACTGGGTCAAAATAATCATTGCAAAATAAACCCATTTCTTGCTTGTTCCAAGCAAACACTTTTTCCTGGGTACAAAGGACCCATGCCACAAGTTTTTCTTCTTTGGGCCAAAGGAATCCATATTTGTTTATTTACAGTTCATTGAATCATTCCAGGGTGAGCCGTTTTCTGGGGATAAAGGTCAGTGGGGTATCAGGGAGTGAGGGAAGCATAGCAAGAGGGTCAGAGGGAAAGCTATTTTTTACACTTTCCAGTGTCGTTGTTGAGACAGGCTTCATGCATCTGTCTGCAGGTTTTTATTTTTGGGCGGCATATACAGGATGGGTATCATTGGGTATTGTATCCAAATCCGGTGTGTCTATCTGAGAGCCATTATTCAAGATCGACTGCCAATTAATTGAGGTGTCCATGCCATCTTCTGGTTGCCAGTGAAGATGGTCCTGAATTAAAAATCCTGGACCACACATTTTTGTCCCATTCAGTGTGATTGAGTCCATAGGTTTATTGTCTAGTGGGAATTTGGACATGTTATCTGTATCTTCTGTTTCCTGTCCATATAATCCTGGGTGACACAAGAGGCAAGGATGTGGAATGGGCAACCAAGGAGCAGGTGGAAAGGCAGGTTTGGGGAGGATGAAGGCCTGGACATAGAAATTGAGACTGGATATACCAATGCACAAATTCAGAATGTGTCCTAAAATTTGATTGACTGAACCATTCACAGATTCCATGTGCCATCCTTTCACTGGAGTGTACATGAGCCCAATTTGTTCACAACACTGCTTGCTGATGCCAACAATGCCAGAGCTGCCATTTAGGATGCAGGCAATGGGTGTGTCATAGTCACCAATTAAACAGTTGATCTGGCATAGGGTAACCATGTCTTTGCCAACCAATAACCCATCCACATCTTCCAAAATGCCTTTGATCTGGTATATCAGAGCCTCGCTGTCTTGCACTTTGGTCACCTGGATCACATTGGGAATAACTGGTTTCTTGCCATAAGCTTCCTTGAGCACCTTGTTAAAGAGGGGGCATGCTGATGCGAGGACCTTGCTGGGAACTTGAACCAGAGTTTTGGTGAGAGTAACTGTGAGAGCCCACAAAACTGTTTTGTCTTCTGCATTTTCAGTGCATTTGGTATGGGGCTTTGGCATGTCTGGTATGGCATCCAGTCTTTCCAGTTCATTCACCTGTATGCTGGCAAAGTGTGCAGTACTGTGATGCATGCGGGCTTCCGATTTCTCCTTTCTAGCTGTTGGTGTGTAGACTTCAGAGACCTTGGCCAATTTTCCTGTGGATGCCATGCACTGTTTCTTGAGTCATTCTGCCTCAGCCATGAGGACCTTGATCTCCTCATTGTTCCATTTGACCATGGTGTCCTGATTTTTGGCGAGGATGTGCAGTACTGAGTGATCCACTGTGACTTCAAATTTGGAGTCTGAGCTGACATCTTCAATGATCATGTTGTGAAAGACAACAAGAGGGGTTGCTTGTGATTTCAGACAATGTTCTGGATGGTCCTTGTAATAACCATCAACCTGTTCCTTAAGATCACAACCAGGCCAATGATGAGGAATAAATTGGCCACCAGCAAGGACATGATAGGTGCTGTCTTTCTCAAGGAGTCCTTTGTCCAAATATTTCCAGGCTCCTGGGCATGTCACAATCTTGTCCATGCAACCTGTAGACACACCGTCAGAGTGGCAAAGCAGGTGTTCAGTATTCTGGGGGCCATATCTGTTTTGGTTCAGGTAGTTTTCTGCTGGGACAGGAACCCAATTTGCACCAGTGGCCAGTGTATTGTTGCCATATGTATTTCAGGAAGGCTGTCCATAGGGGTTCTACTGAGTGGCTGGTTGGTTCTGTGGGATGGTCTTCTGGTTCATCAGAGTATAGATCTGAGACACCATCCCTTTGAGCTGAGCCATGCATCCAGTAAAGTTGGCAACCTGTGGGGAGTATTCTGGTTTGACATTGACAGGCACCAGTGCTGGTGCTACATCCTGGGAATAATCAGGAGACAGAATGCAGACCTTCATGGTGGTATTGCCTAGTGCCCATTCTGCAGTCTCCTTTAATTCAGCCATTGTCCAAGGTTCATCCACAGCCCTGTTGTATTTCTGTTTGAGCCTGTTGAGCATCTTGTCCCAAATGCAGCTTTCAGTGGGTGGGAATTTGAGTATGCAGAGGAGGGCCTTTTGCTGATCAAGGACAGAAATCTGGTTGTGGGTGATGAGCTGTGTAGAAATTGAGTAGAAGTCCCTGTAAAATTTGGCAAATTCTCCCTTGGTCTTAATGCAGCATTGCCATTTGTGGACCAGGTCATCGAGGTCCCAAGTTGCATACCAGTGTTTGTTATTTGCTGCGCCAGGATAGTACTTCAAAACCTCGGTCTTGAAATCCTCATATGAGTTCCTTTTCACTTCTTCCATGCCATGTGGATCTGAGTCCATAATTTGTATGTGTCATCATCAGTGTAAAAGCAGGCCCAGTTGATTTTGTCTCCTCCACCAATGATGGCTGGTTTGCACAAGTTGAACAGTTTTTCCAAGGCTGCAAAATACTGGGAGACGCCAAGAGGTGTAGGGGAAAAGTGGGGGGCCAAAGGGGACTCCCTGCCCATGGGCATTGTGCATTTGCTTGCCATGAGGAGTCATCGGACTGCATCCACTATATCAGAATGACTGCTGCTGCAATACATCTGTGTGGTCCAAAATTGTGGGCATTTCTCAGAGCACAGTATGGCAGGCTTGCCGTTTGTCCCTAAGCTTGTTCTGTTGGTCTATGGTGGAAGTGGATACCGGAATATGGGAAGCCAGTATCAGAAATCAGAGGAGGAGGAGTTCTTGCCTCAGCAGCTCTTAATCAGTAAAAGCTGCCTCACATTGGGCTCCAATATGATCCGACCCAAAAGGTGTCCAAAATATTGGTCCAATGGGTGGTGTGCAAGAACTTGCTAGGGAAAGAGGAGAGAGAGGGGGAAAGTCAGTGGGAATGTGGGAGTCAGTCTGTAGCTGAGCTATTGAAGTCAGTATGCAATAATCAGAGCTCAGTGTCTGTCCAGTCAAGTTCTGATAAGTCAAGTAAAATCTGCTAAGTCAAGTCAAGTCTGCCAATATACGGATAATCAGATCTGTATAACTCTCTCAGAAAAGGGGCAGAATAAACTAGGTACAGGAGTTTCTAGGAACTACTTATACTAGCTACTATAAACTGTACTCTATACTAAACTGGTCTCTGGATACCTCTCCAAGGCAGGTGGTGGCATGCTGAATATCTGTGTGGCTCAATCCTGGTGCAGAGGAAACCTACAGTTGTCATGCCAAATATCCGGGTCATCCTGTCACATGGGAAACCTTGCAGTTGTCATGCCAAATATCCAGGGGGGGTCAAGACTCATTGCTGGGGTGCATTGTCTGCATAGTGAGGGTCCATAGTGCCACATAATGGTTTCTAGGGCCCGAAAATAACTGTGGGAATACTGGCCTGACACACCCCACCAGAGGTGGGGTTGTTCAGCAGGCCCAGCATCAGATGTCCTCCAATGCACCAGGTCTACCAAATCAACCTGACCAAGGCACTGTCTTCACTCATGGTGACTTGACCCCCCACAACATCCTGGTCAACAAGAGTGGGAGTTTGGTTGGAATTATTGATTGGGAATGTGCCAGTTGGATGCCGTGGCACTAGGACCTTGCTTATGTGAGCCAAACATTTGGGATCACAGCCATAGGCTAATCAAGTGGTAGTCGACATATGCATACCAACAGTATGAGAATTGGGTGAGGGTGATGTGGTATACATTTGAAGGGATGGAGGAGGACATTCTATTGGAAGATCAATGGGCTGTTGCATGGGGTTTCTAGTTCTGCTTGCTGTGAGGTTTTCAGATGTAACTACTCTGGACTGGACAGGAATACCTATTTATTTCCCAAGTATCAAACATTACCCATTGAGAAGCCCATAGAGGAGGTACACAGTTCCATGAAAAATCTTTGGGCATGGAGAGAAAGATTGCATGGATTACTAATTAGATGCTATAATATTTGTCTAGTTACATTTGATGTTTGGGTGTGTGAGGTCTAGCCATGCACTCTCCCACCCCCAACTACATACCTACCATGTCCAGCTATGGAATGCAAGGTCTAGCCTCCGCCCATGAAGAAAAAAATTACATCCAGGGACAGAATGCAAGGTCTAGCCATGCACTCCTTATAATGTCATCCTTGAAAGGAGCAAAGTGCATGGTCAAGCTGTGCACTTTGCTCCCTGCAAGTGTTACCTCTGAGGGGGGAAAGAGGCATGGTCTAGCCACGCATTCTGTTCCCCCTCAGGGAGAGAGTCAGACTTGGAAAGAGGCAGCATGCTTGGTCAAGCTGTGCATGCTACCCCTCTCCAAGTCATTGATGTGAGATAGAGAGAGCATGCATGGTCAAGCCATGCATGCTACCTCTCTCACCACCAATCCAAAGCAGAGAACACAAGTGGTCAAGCCAAGCATGTTCTCCATCTCCACAAACACATTTTGGAGACTGTATGCATGGCTTGGCCATACATAGTCTCCCAGGATAGCCCCCCACCTCACCCAAGATTGGGTGGGGTGGAGATGATGTCAGCAAGAGGCAGGTTGTACCTATGAAAATGTCAGTGGTGGTTGAAGGGAGAAGAGCATGTTTGCTTCCGTGGATGCATCAAAAAAGTTAAGGCCCTAGGACCCTGAATTCTGACTCCATTTGCTCCCATAAGGCCATCATCATGAGAAGGCTTTTGAAAGGCAGGTGCAAAGGCCTTGGTCTTTGCAACATCTTGAATCTCTACCACCACCTGCTTAACTTAACCATGGCTTCCAGAATCACTGCATCCAGTATCCCACTCTGCAGAGTGGGCGAGGGATGAAACATGGCTGAAGCACGGAGGAAAGCAGGGAAGAGCCCAGCCCCCACTTTCCACCTGGCACCAGAACAGGGGGCAACCAGGATATGCAGCTGAAGTGGGCCATCCTCAACATGTATGCAATGATAGATAAGGAGGAAGGGTATACTGGTGTAAGTTCCTTTATCCTCTTCATGTGGAACATGGTAATCCTAACTTTAACACAGGATTGGACCAAGGACAAGGAGATCATGGTGGAACTGATGGACCCAACAAAGAGGATCCACACCATGCCTTTGGAGGAAGTGTAAGTGAGATTTAATATTACTTCAATGCATTGCTGATATGGTACAGGCTTGGGAAACCTGGGATGGGTGATGGGTTCCTTCATGGCCTTGTTTAGGAAATGGTGGTGAACGGAGAATTCCTGGAAGAGGAGTTCAGAATGAATAGGAGGCTGAAGAACAAACAGTTCGAAGTGGCCAGATCCATGGTTGGGCAGCAGATGAAGTAACAGGAGTGAGAGGGTTATCTTTCTATCATGTTCCTATTAACTCAGAATTACTTAGGAACTGATGTATGCCATCACTTGGAAAGGTGAACCATTATCCCATGATGTGAGAGACCGCCTGAATGAAAACTGGTTTCTGGTTTATGCTCAGCCTACAAGTAATGAGGAGCCTGCAGCAGGGAGCATTATGCACCATCTGTGGTGTTGTCAGGGCACCAGCTCATTGCTTGGTCAAGAGAAGAGACATGACTAAGCCTTTATGACATGGAAGTAGCTGGTATACCTTGGCATGTGCTGGAACCTGCTGGAAGGATTGGATGGTCAGGTGACCTGCTGTGCATGGCTGTGCATGACCTCATATGACCTCATCCTTGGTCATATGACCTGATCACTTGACTAGGCTGAGTAAGCAAGATGTTCTAGCAGATTCCACCACAGAGGTATAAATATAAGGCCTACTCTGCCTGGGGACTGTCTCT